GTGTGTGTGCATGTGTGTGACTCATTGCTGTACCAATGGGGGATTCTGCTCCGTCCTCATGAGGTCTTCATAGATCTCTCCACCTGCGTTGTCTTCTTCCAGCCCATAGACTGCGGCGTACAAGTCGTCCTCATCCTCAGGGGCATTCTCGCTATCGCACACACACACACACAACGATGTGCACACACACATTAACATCTCTAAAATTTGTTAATTATCGGTCACACATGACTTCTTGTGGGGCAACAATTTGTGGACAATATAAATGATTATATGTTAAATGCAATGTTAAACAGTAAGAAATATACACATATAAACAAAAGGTTTTGTGTATACGTCATGACAAATTCATTATAGACATCATTAAGTAATAGAGTAATACATGAAGAATACAAGACTTGGGCCTTTCTTATTCTCATATTCATTAACTCATCATTAACCACTAATCAGTACATGTATTAGAGAATAAAATACTTTAGAAAGGCATAATTCACAACTCAAAGAACAGGCTCTGAAACTCTAATGTGACATGAAAATAATACTAAAATTGGATCAGTTGTGTTCTATACATTATCCTTATTCATCTTTATCTGTCAATCAAACTGTCAACAGCACTCATCCAGAGGACTTGATGTGGGTGGTATGCAAGCACTCAGCAAACACATGCAGAATTACTCATTCGTTCCCTCTGACAGTAACAGAGAAATGGAGCCAAGCCTTTTACCAAAACATGTGGGTGTCTAGACCCCTGGAGAGCATGGATGATGAGCAGAGCTGGTTCTGTTACTGAGCTACTTAATCATGTTCTCACCAACACCAATAATGGGCCCGCAGAGAGGAGCCTCATACATACTCAATCATGTCTTCCAGATTATTGTAAATATCCTCGTCTTTTAGGCTCTCCTCGGTTGGGAATGGCCTGGAAATGACAGGAAAGCAGCATGAGGCTCAGTGTTTAACAGAAAAATCACAATGAAGTAACTCTAATTAATGAGTGATTTAGGGCGGGAAACTAACTTTTTTTAAATGTATTCAAATATCTACAACAGCCTAAAAATGCTCTCTTCCTTTTCTTTTTATACTTTTGTACAGCAGAAAAGGACACAAATTGTTCAAAACTAGCTGACAAATTTGCATATTTATTAATGCAACTTGAAAAAAAGCATTTGGGGCCACGAGCCTAATTTTATTGAAATGAGATCTGCAACCGCCTTATTCTCATGTTTAGTAGATGGCAGAAAATTACTAAAGATGTCAAAATAAAAATATATAGATTGGAAAAAAAATTCATACTATACAAACATAAAATAGTTTAATCATGAGAAAAGTAAGAATCTCATGAAAAACATCATCATTTCTTTGTTTTCTGTCTCCCAGTGCACACTCTTATTTTGTCATATCCTATTTCACATGTGGCTGTTGTTAATGATTGTGCTTTGTTTACTCTAGATATTTCAATAAACAGATTGGGGGGCACTTTTTCCAAGATGTGTACAAATTTTTTTTAATGTAATATATAACACTTTGATAATGTCTTCAGAACTCTAAGTCTGTTTGTATCTTTCTTTCTTTCTTTTTAATATTGAGTGACTTACTTGAATCCTCCTTGCTGTGCAGTTGTTGTGTAAGAGAGCTTGGATAGGGTGTCCATAACCTGGTGAAAAAAGGTGTGTTAATTCATGTTTCTGAATGGCTCAGGGAGACTTAAAGAGAGCAGGAGAGGAGAGGGAGACAGAGAGAAATAGAATCTTGCTACTGAAAGTTAATGACACATTTATGTTGTTGTCATTACCAGATTCTGAGCTGTAAACATCAACATCCAAGCCTAAATTATGACTGAAACTTAGAATCTCTCAAAGCTCTGGTATGCAGTATCTGATTTCCTGCTTAAATCAATCTGATTAAACTTTCAATGCACAGTATTTTTGTTTTTATTTTTATTTTATCGTAAAAACGTGGGAATCTTTCCCTTTTCTAAATGTATCCCTACATGGCATAAGTCAAAGTAGCCACAAAATGCAGTAGCAACTACACACTAGCAAATATCTCTGTAACACCTTAGCAACCCTCTAGCTACATCACCCAAAATGCATTAGAAACCATGTAGCATCCACCAAAAAACACACCAACATGACTTAGCAACCAACTAGCTACCACATTTGTAACATCTTAGCAACTATTCAGTCTCCAGCCATCATCCAACCTCCAACAGTAACCAATGTCTTGCCAAGTAAGCCACACATTAGCTGCCACTATGAAAAGGCAAGGTTGTGGCGCCCCTGTGGCTCAGGAGTACAGATAACGACCATGATCCAGCTGGGGACCTTTGCTGCTTCTCTCTCTATCTCTCATTTCCTGTCATGTCTCTACCATCACTATCTAATAAAGGCCTAAAATAGCCCGAAAATGAGTGTGTTGATGGTAGCAAATGTGTACACAAGAAGCAAACTTACCGAAACAATACTCAAGTACAAAGAATTTGACAATAAAAAATCTGTATTTGCCGTGCTAGCAGCAAAATATATCAGAGCAAATTAAAGTATAGAGTGCAAACCGGCAGAGCAACACATGAAACTTTACTTAACTCCTTCAAAACCGGACTGCTCTGTTATATGTATATATATGTATATATGTAATGTGCTAACTATTTGTCATCCTTTTTTTCTTACATTCAAAATTGAAATCAACAGCAAGAGACAGGTAGCAGACAAACAGACAGACTGACAGAGAAAGACACGCACGGTCTGCAGGAAATGGTCACACTACCTCAGATTCTTACACCTTTGCACCAGGCTCTTTTTGAGTGCGTGTCTGTGTGGTGGTGGGGTTGTGTGTTAAAGAAAAAGAAAGTAAGAGAGGTCTGATTAAGAGATCTACTACAAAGGCACTTTTCAGTTAGATTTTAAATAGATAGATAGATAGATAGGATAGATAGATAGATAGATAAGATAGATAGATAGATACTTTATTTTATCCCAAGGGAAATTCAAGTAAAGTCAAATAAATAAATACACTATAATTCTGCATGCAATAATCGTACATTTGTTGTGCATTTATGTGTCTGAAGTCTGCTAACACAAATTAAACTGGAGAGCATAACTGGTTTGAATTCTGTGCTATAATAATCCTTAGTGTTCCTTCACCAGGGCTCATGAAGAAACAAGTCCATGAACGCTGAACATACATTTTATCCACTCAGATACGAGATCATTTACTGACCCCACAGATGCACCACATATGCTGTAATCAGCTTGTCCTGGTCAATTGGGACATACAGTAGTTCATATAATATAGTCAGTAGACGCCACAAGAGAAATAGTGTAAGGAAATAGGTGTGCTTGATAAGGATCACATGATAGGAAGCCGCCGTAGGAAAATCAGGTTGTTTGCCTTAAGAAGACTGTGAAACTTGTATTTTATGTAATTACAAACGTAATAATATCATGCTTCTATCTCCAAAAAAAATCCCAGATTAGCAAAGGGCAGGGATTCATCTGTCAGTTAACTCTCCTATTTAATAATTTCTCTGGTTGGTATATGAAGAAGATTCAAGTAACAGCGCTACAAATGGAAAATGTGTTCTCAGGATTTGGATTTGCAGGCATGGTTAAAAGAAGATAGTTGATGGGGTTAGATATAACAGCCTGTCAATGTGCAGTTTATTGCCTCTTCCTGTGTGAATGGGTGCTGTGGCTTTGGCTGAACCCAGGTGTGCATGTCACC